TTGAAAAATCATAAAATAAACAGTTTAAGAAACTGCTTAAAGAAACGTACAGTAAAACTGCAATTATCCAGATGCTTTTTATCCACATTGCCCTCCGATTTTGTTAAAAATAAATAGACATGTATGTATATGTATTATATATGCATTTAAAGTAATTTCTTTCTAAATATAGAAAAAAACTATATTAATTTACAGGTACATTTTCACAATTTAATATTTTATTTGCACATAATTATGTACTGTATATACATAACAGGGTTTATGGATAGGAAAAAATAATGATTATTTTAAGCAAAAATCCAATTATGGTATCTAGATGTTCCACATATCTGGACAACCCGAGTTCTCAATTAACTTGAATAATTGTAATTCTACTGTATTTTAATTTGTATTGTTTAATGTGATTAGAGATTGCAAAGAAATTTTTTCTAGTATAATTATATTTTTTTTTATATCCAGACAAAACATTCTTTGATGTCTTTCATAGGAATCATTAATTAATTCTACCAAGTTTTTTTCACAAAGTTAATATAACAAGAGTGTTATTGTTTTTGTATATTTAGACAGCTGTAGTATTAATTTTGTAGTATAAACTATTTGAACAATAAGTTTAGAAAACTGATTAACACAACTCCAAATTTGTATTGTGTGGTTTCCTGTGGAAGTGAATGATTTTAATCTCTCCTTTTTTTTCCCCTAATAATAATGATGATAATATGTTTCTTTATAAAATATTATATATGTTTTCTATAACAGAAGTAAATGAATTGTTTTTCAAGGTTCAAATACCTCATAATTAGGGGCTAAGACAAGTAAACTTTTTTTACCTTTAATTAGAAAAAATAGTTTAAAATTATGTAGAATTTCTCATTTTAAAAGTATGATTCATGTCGGGTAGATTTGGAAATTTACAAGTGAAAAAGAAACTGTTTTTGAATTGTATTTTGTAACCTAATTTTAAAAACAATTGTTATGAATGAATATTTTTAGAAAGACTTGTTTTATATTTTCCAAGTTTATTGTTGAAAGTATATGTTTACCATAAAAGTATTATACTTTAATTTTATAATTTGTAGCATCAAATCTTAAAATAAATTGTATAATTGTAGATAAATTAATATTTTAATGATTTAATCAATAAACTGATTTGAAGAGTAAATAATTTTAATTTAAACAACTGATAAGGACTAATGAATTTATCCAAATTGTCTGTTGTGAATTTGCTTTTTGTTGATTTGACATATAAATTGTTCAAGTTTGTTCATATTGAATTTTATTAAAAATAGGAAACATCATACTTAACAAAAAATTTTCTGCTGAAGTTACTTAAATTGATTTATAACTCCAACAAGAATAAGGTTATCTCTTTATAATAATTAATCCATAGCTTTAATGCAATTTAAAACTTTAATTTAGATCTTTATATGATTAAAAGTTAAGAAATTTTATATATATATATATGTGTTGAATGTGTCTTACAAGTAT